TCAAGAACTGTGAACCAAATAAACCTCTTCTCTTTATAAAGTATCCAGTCTCAGGCATTTTATTTTAGCAACAGAAAGCATACCACAAGCCCCAGTATGAGGTTACTGAGGCAGCCCTGCCACACAAAGCCCCTCGAATGTAGGCTACATGGTTCTCATGCTATCCCTGAAAGAATCTTTTTTTTTATGTGGCAAAAGCAAGCACTGAGTCTTTTGGCATAAGTCTTACCAGAGGTCTGTGTACTAGGATCAATGGGACAATTCGATGTACAACATACAAAGAACTTTAGTTCATTATCTGTTCTCTTTTGAGGTGCTAGCTAAACACTGTACCACTGATCCACACCCAAAGCCCTAATTCACTATTTTCTTAAGTTTGAAATTATGGAGTGGGAATTTTTAATACTTATTCTTAAAAACAAAGCACACTCTGGCAGACACATCACCTGGAAACTAGCCTTCAAATGACAAGAATACGCTCCACTTCCCACCCCAGCACCTCTCTTAATATGCCAGATGAATCTCTTTGCTGATCTAGAAAAAACCAGAGCAAAATGTCACTCTTGTGCACAAGAACTTGTCATGGATTTTTTTTTTTTAATCTCTTTTTGGGGGATAAAGCAAAATCATGCTGCTTAAGTTCCAGGTCCAGTGGAGCTTAAGAAAGGTAGCAGGGTCCAGGGCAGCCGAGGGCAGCTCCAGCCTTGACTCACTGCCCTCCTGCAGCTAACCAAGGGCAAGCACTTAGCCTCCTGTGCCTCTGTGTCCTCATCTGTGAACAGAGCAGTTTTACTCTGGAGGGCTGCTCTGAAGATGTGGTCATTACAGAGAAAGTCCCCGCCTGCAGACACCGTGCACACTGCCAAATTGTCAACATTGTACAAGTCAGCTGCTATCCTGAAGTTTGTGGTTAAATGCCAGCAAGTGCCAGGCAGAAAGGAGGTCCCAATGACCTCAGTATAGCCCAGCTCAGACTCGTAGCGTGTGACAGAAGGTGAGCTCATGGTAGTCAGGTTCCTGGCCTTTGATGGGTTTTCAGAGGAAATCAGCCCCAGAGAACGCCCCCCCCCCCCAATTCCCTCTCCCCCCCACTCACAATGCCAATGGTGATCCACTCCAGTGGGCACAGCTGGTGCTCCTTAGTGGTCTGGGGTCTGAGCACAGATCAGGCTGCCATGGAGGTGATATATCTAGGCACATGTGTCCTGAGACCAGCCCCGGCCCTTCAATGCCAGTCCCAGGCATGGTAGAAAGGAACCAGTAACCCCCACCTCTCTACCCATGACCAGCCAAGGGGAAATAAGTGCATCTCTGGCAGGGGCTACAGTAAGCAGAGGTAATCAGGAAGTAATGGGAGCTACTCTCATCTCAGATGGGTAGGAGACTGGGGATAAGTTAACACACTTAGCCTTGCCCCAAATCCTACTTTCTAGATAGTCCCTATAGTCACTGGCCAACAAAATTCACACAGAATTTCCTCAAGTCATATGTGCTCACATTTTCCTGTCTTCATATCTTGGTTTAGTGGCCTACTTTCTCTACCAGTTGACCCTATGTGGCCCAGCCTGGTGGGAGGTGAGCACTCTGCCCACTGCTGGTGTAGGGAAAGGAATATAACTTCCTGGGTGACATACACTAGAACCCTCCCTTTCCTTGTGCAATTCTAATGCTATTTCTTGGGAGCTACCCTAAGAACAAAGCAAGATGAAGAGTTATTTATAAGACATCTTCAGATAGCAACAAAAATATTTCTGAAGAATAGTGGTTTGATAACAGAAAAAAAGACTAAAAACATAACAAGCTAAAAAGGATTGAAGTCATATGAGATTTAAATTACATTGAAATATATGTATTGTATTTAATAGATGTCAGAGTAAAACTAGAAGGAAACACATCAAAGGCTAGTGTTCCACCTCTAGGTGGCAAGATTGTGGATGTGAGTTTTTATTGATTTTTTTCTTTTATTTATTTGGGTCAGACATCTACCATCACTGTCCTCCATCTTCTGGTAACAACGCCTCTGTTTCTTTGCTGGGAAGCTGCCCCTCTGCCATCAGTGGCAACCTGACAGGAGGACAGATGCCCAAGGACCTTCAAGTTCACTGTCTCCCTCCTTGGGAGTGCTTGTGATTCACAGTCCCCCTTGAGGGGGCTGAGGTCGGTCCCCCCTTGGGCCCCAGGATGTGGGACCCATGCTCAGTCCACAGATCCCTCAAGTGATAGGAGAGATGCCAAATCACAAATAGAGTCTCTCTCTAGACTATGAAGCGAGGCAATGAAAGCCAACAATGGAGACAATGGTGCTCCAGGGTCTTAGATGTATCTTGCTGGACTGTGGGTTTGGAGCCTGCTATCTGAGGCCTATTTCTTCAAATTTCCCATTGACTCTCTGAGCAAACCAACATCCTTCTAATGAACCCTGCTTGTGTTCAGGTTAAGGCTGTTGTCATTGCTGAAACTCAAGGGTTCTGTCACCTGTTCCTCCTAAATATGCCCTGAGTCCATGTCCTCTCCAGTCAGAAAGAACTGCCTACAGGAGATGGCAGCCAAGCCCAGCTCAGGCCCAAAGACATGTGGACCAGTCCAGCTGGTTGTGTTGTTAGTCCCAATGAATGAGCTGCCTTATGTCTCTGAGCCCTAATTTTTTCATTCATCAAGTCATAAAAGCATTCCTGCTTCACAGGGAGCCACTGTAAACTGCAGAAGTGATAATAAAAAGATAGTGTCTGCCACATTTAAAGTTCAAATAAATGGCAAGTGTTCTTATGAAAAGGTGTTTGACAGCTCTGGCTTAAACAAATGGATCTAGTCATCCAACAATGAATGCCCCGGTGTATACCTGGTCTGGCCTAGGATCAACAGAGAGTGGGAGGGTCAGAGTCACCACCCTCATGGATGTCAGTTGGATACCAGTGGTGGTAAGTATCCAATAGCAAACAAGGCCGAGAGCTAGAAGAATAAGGCAGAGCAAGAATGTACTTTAGGTGTGGTGATCAGGAAATGTGGGGGAGACGTCTAAGCCACAGCACGCAGGGCAGGAGGAGAACACTGCAAGTTGAAGGCAGCACAGGAGACAGAGGGGTGGGGAAGATTCCTGGAGAGAGGCAGGCAGTGAAGACCGGAGTCAGGAGTCTGCATGTGTATTTTTAAAGGGAAATCATTAACAGGGGATTGACCTGATCCGCCTATGAAAGGCCTTGTCAGCTCTGCAGTTTTGGAAGTGACATTAGGAGTTCTGGGAAGAAATGCTAAGGTGGTAGCAATGGGAGGAGAAGGCAGATGCCAGTTACATTTTAGAAAGAGAACCCTCAGGAAACCAGACATAAGGGATGAGAGGAAGGCATCAGGATGAACCCCACTTCTAGCCTGAGGCAGCACTGTGTTCACCAGGAGTGAAGGACAGACATGGAAACCAGCACCCCAGGGAGAGCATGTCAAGTTGGAGTCCTAGGCTAAGGCCACACAGGAGAAACAGGGAGCAAAGACCTATGCAAACCCACAGGAATGGATGAAAGGAAGCCACCCTGTCAGTCCACCAGTCAGTACAGTCCACCTCATATCCTTCCCATCCATGCATTTAACCAACTGCACATCAAACTATTCAGAAAAGAAAAACTGGCATCTTTGTTGAATATGCATAAACTTTTTTCTTATCATTACTCCCTAAACAATATTGTGTAACAACTGTTCACGTAGCATTTACATTGTACTAGGTGTTGCAACCACCTAGAGACGATTTAAAGTATAAGGGAGGATTGCATAGATTACATGCAAATACTACACTGTTTATCATAAGGGACTTAATTAAGTGTGGTAGGTTTTCATATGGGGGAGGGTCCTGGAGCCATCCCACCAGCTACAGAGGGACAACAGTGCTGGACAACCACCTGACCACCCAGTACGACTGCAACTGAAGCAATTACCTGGTCCCCAAGTCTCAAACTTAGGGACCTGTCAGTCACCTGGTGGGTTAGTTGAGACCATTCTGCCACACTCAGAGCTTCCAGCTGAAAATGTCCATTTTTATCCAGTTTCCAGGGAACAGCAATCCTGTGGGTCCAGGGACCTCATTTGGGGATTGTTGTTCTTTCAGAAGTCCTCATTCCATGCCCACACTATGGGCCAGACACCTCACTCCCTGGGTTGAACTAAACTTGTACTCCTCGTGTTCAAAGGGGCCACCAAATAGGGTGTAGTGAGGGTGTTCGCATAATGCTAGCATAACTGCAGTGAGCATGTGCTCCCTCCCCACTGAGGCACACAGAAGGTACTTCCTGGGCTGAATGTGTGAATATAGCAAGAAGAGAAAGGCAGACATGCTCAGAAGAACTCAGGTTTGAAGATTTGAAGCCTATGAACAGAGGAGGCTAGGGCTAGTATCTAGCCTCCTGGGCTTGGGAGGAGCTGCTGGGCCCCCTCCTGGGCAACAGACCGTTTCTCTTAGCTCAGACCCTATTTCCAGACAGGGTCTCACTATGTAGCCCAGGCTATCCTAGAACTCAAGATCCTCCTGCCTCAGCCTCCTGAGTGCTGGGATTATAGATATATGCTACCACATCTGGCTTTTGATCAGTCTTTTCATGCAATATTGAGAATGTAGCTCAGTGGTGCAGCCCTTCCTAGCATGTGCAAAGCCCTGGGTTCATTCCCAGTACCAAAAAAAAGAAACTTTTCATGTAAGGATGTCTATGAGCCTCCAGCCCCTCCTTAGACATGGCTCTTTCCTCATTTCCTCCTTCACTAGCCTGTTCTAGGCCAGGTGTACCTGACAAATGAGATGGGTACCCTTTCCACAGAGCCTGCATCATAATGACCCCCATCCAAGGCATAAGAGGGAACCCTGGGCTGGTGCTGAAGGCCTCAGGATCAGGGCTGCTGGCACAGAGGCAGGGAGCATGGAGTGGGGGCAGGGATTGAGTCCATACCCTTCCTGTCAGCCCAGAAGTCCTTACCTGGGACATGCAGGGTATAGCACATCCAGAGCAAGACGAACACCTTACCTTCTCATAGGGACAGTACTTGAACATCTTCATGGGACTTGTACAGATGAAAACATCAGTGCTATTAGGAGAGAAAGGATGACAGTGAGCCTGAAGTCCCTGCAGCCATCACCATAAGGCCTTCCAACCTCCCCACCTTTGCTGCCCCTGTCAGGGTCTGAGCCACGCCACAGACTTCAGCTGTCCTCCCTGATGGCAGTGGGCAGCCATGAGTGACCCCATCCTGGCCAAATGCAACAAGCTCAGGAGTGGACACTAGACTCATGGCAAGTTTTGCAGGGTGATCAGACACCTTCTCTAAAATCTGAATAGGGAAATAAGGGAAAGAAAGAAGGGTTAGGCAACAAATACATCATTAAAAAGATGCAGAGGGCAGCTCACTGGTAGCGCATGTGCATTGGGTTCCATCGCCAGCACCAAAATAAATAAATAGAGAGAGAACTGGGGCCTGAGGTAATGCAAAGGAACAAGGAAAGAAATCCACGAGAAAGAATTCCAGTAGTACTTGCAAGTCCTCTGGCCATGGGCCACACAGAGGAGCCCAGTTCCACCTGAGCCAAGCTAACTGTGTGGACCCCTGAAGGGGGTGAGCTCTGTGTAAGGTATGTCCTTCCCACAGTCATGGCAATGAACTGAATCCATGCGGGAGCTGACCTGGAAGGGCTTCCCAGGTGCTTGCTCCTTCCCACAGCCAAAGGGTCCCTTACCACCATCACTGCTTGGTCCTAAACATCCTCACAATGCCAGTTTTCACCTCTGGCTCAAGCTGAGCTGTGAGAGATGTGTTTTCCTGACTCTCTTTGGCAATTAGTTTCCTGGGAGTCCTGTGGAAGGCTGCTCAGTCCCTGGGGGCGGCATGTACTGCTAATTACCTGAAGTCTCCTGGTCTCTCAGCACTTGCTCTACCAACGTCTCAGTCCCCTCGCACCTGCTGTGTCTTCCAAACTTTCTGCCTCTGCCCCAAGTTCTCACCTGCCTTGAAAGGAGGTGGCCTAATGCAAAGGTCCACCTCCCCTAGGGCTGGCTCTTCCCACACCCCTCGAACCTCAGAGGAAGGCAGGAAGGAAAGCTTTTACACTGTTCCTTGCAAATGTATGGGGTATGAATTACATGTCAATAAGGCTTTTTTAATAAAAGGACTCAAGGATGCATATAGAATTGCTAACAAGTCTCAGTAGACTGTGTGTGATGGTTACTGAGTGTGAGCTCAGATCACGGAACCTCTCATTTCACTAGAACAAAACAGAAATCCCTCTCATTCTTCCTGAACTCCCCCTTTCCAAGTGAGGCCTCCTGTTTACCCTCTTTCCTTGGCACTTAGCACAGTGTGGGGTTGTCTCCCCAGGTGACTCTGCTTCACACCTGCTGGCTAGACTGTCAGGTCCCAGGGCAGGCCCATGCTGTGTGTCACTGATACTGATACCTAGCAGGATCTGCCCAACAGGGTTTTTATCAAGGTAGGTAAGGAGGAAGCAAGCAGGCTTCTGCTCAGGACTAAGGAGAGAGGGGCCAGGCAGCAGGAAGGAGGTGCAGACCCGAGCTGTGGCTCCCACAGGTTGGAAGACAAACTTACTTTTGTAGGTTGGTCATCTGCTTCACAGCTTCCACAGCCCCTGGTAGAGGTTCAAGTTCAAGGAAGAAATTCTTCGATTCCCAGATGCTGATGGCTTTCTCCTGAAAAGTCAAGAGAAGCAGATTACCTCAGGGTCCTCAGCCTGTCCTTCTCTGGAGGAGCATGTGTAGCTGGGAAGGGTTGCTGACAGGAAGGGGGCTTCTACCTCCCTCTTATCCTGAAAATCACCCCCAGGACATGTCTCCGTGAGCTTTCGTGCATGTGTACATATTGTGTGTGCTCATACGTGCTCATATGTGTGTGCTCTGGCCCCTTTCCAGAGAGGATGTGACTTGTGTCAGGATCCAGCAGACTAGCTAACATGTCAGGGCCATGGATTCCTATGTCAACTGTAGCAGAGGCAATGCCTGGCACCCTCTGGGGCCTGAGGCCAGGGATCATGAACCACACACTTGCTAGGTGTGATGAAGATGGCCAGATACATGGTGGAGGCTCTGAGGGTAGACAGGCCCGGTCATGGCAGGAGGCTCATTAAACTTGAGCACTTGAAGAACTCAGCAATCCTTAAGTGCACCATGGTGTCAGGAGGAAAAAAGCAGTAGGGAGAGGCAGGGTGAAAAGATAATTGGGAGAGCTGCAGGTTCCTCCCCACACCAACCAAAACAGCTCTGCTTTCACCTGGTTTATTGTTGAAGTATCAATAAGGAAAAAGAAAAAAAAAAAAAAAAAGAAGTTTGCTGCCTATGGTGGTATACACCTATAATATCAGCACTTGGGAGGTAAAGGTGAGGCCACATAGAAAGACCCTGCCTCAAAAAAAAAAAAAAAAAGCAAAACAAAAAATCCAGACCCCATTTTACCTATGAGAAAACCAAGGCTCAGAATGGGGAAGAAATCTGATGTCACACAACAAAACAGAGGCTGAACTGGGAGAATCCACATCTCCCCACTCACAGGCAAGCTCCTTTCCACTTTATGTAGCTGGGCCAAACTGAGTTTTCAGAATGCTACACTTTTTCTAGGGACAGGCAAGGGGAAAGTGACAAGTCTAAGCCTCTGAGAAGGGAACCTCAATCCCACGTGTGCAATTCAGGAAGTTCCCCTGCCGGATCAAGAGATGGCGCCAGGAGTACTCTTGTGAATACATTGACTCTGAGCCAACACAGGTTATCACTAAGACACATTTTTTTTAAGACACATTCTTCTGTTCCAGCCTCACCATCCACAAGAGCTGACTATTGTCATCCCCAATTTTGTTTTTTTTTGAGACAGGGTCTTGCTTCGTAGCCCAGCTAGCCTCCAACTTTCAATCCTCCTGCATTAGCCTCTCAAAAGCTAGGATTACAGGCTGTTATCACCATGCTGGACCTCAATTTTCTTCCTTCTCCCCCCTTAAAGCCTCTCTCCTTATCTACAGAATGGAGATAGAAGATCATCCTTCCTTTACAGTGTCCTTATAGGATGTAACATATATGCTACATCCAAGCTTTGTACTAATGACACCAAGCTTTGTACTAATGACAGCTTCTCAGCACCTGTGCCCTCCCTGACACTAACTTTCTGTGAAACCATGGTGAAGGCAATCGCCCTCTCTGGACGCATTTAATCTATACCAATGGTTTAGGGTTCTAAGTTAGTTGAAATGAACTTTTCTTTCAGGCTCTGCTCTGCTTACTTCCCCAAGTACTGTGGAGGCCAAAGGGAACATAGATAAAGAGTACAGTGAGCCTCCATGTCCAAGGATTCAACCAACCATGAATAAAAAATACTATGGAAAATAACTTCGTTTGTCCTGAACATGTACAGACTTTTTTTCCCTTGTCATTATTCTGTAAGCAATACAGCATAATAACTATTTACATAGCATTTACATTGTGCCAGGTAGTATAAGTTATCTAGAGAAAGTCGGGCATCAGTGGCGCACACCTGTAATCCTAGCTACTCGGAAGGCAGAGAGCAAAGAGATTGAGGTTAGAAGCCAGCCCAGGCAAATAGTTCACGAGACTTTATCTCAAAACTACCCAACACAAAAAAGGGCTGGTGGAGTGGCTCAAATGGTAGAGCCACACATAGCAAGCATGAGGCCCCAATACAACAACAACAAAAAAGTTATCTAGAGATACTTTAAAGCATACAGGAGGATGTGAATTGGTTACATGCAAATACTACACCATTTTATATAAAGGATTTGAGCACCTGTGGATCTTATCCAAGGGGGCTCCTGGGACCATCCACCCTAGATACCAAAGGATAACTGTATTTCATAAAGTAGAAATGCCTACATCTGTAAACTGGATTATTTTGCTCTTTTAGCCATGGGAGGGAAACCCAGGAGTATCCTGCCCTGACTGTGCCTTGGGAAGGGAAGAAATAGAAGAAATCAGCAGGCCCTCCCAGAGCACCCTCCTCCCTGTCCATGAGCTCTGCTCCTGTGCCTTGCACTTGGAAAACAGGAATTAGTCCCCTTAGAGTGAAGTCTGTGTCTCTGTACAAAGGGCTGTTAAAGCCACTGTGATTTCAGAATTGGGGTGGACTTAGTTTCATCCCATTACTCCTGAGAGTAAATAAAGTCCAATGCTGGTCAGTTATCTACAAATGAACACCCACACGGCAGTGACCTATTACTGAGGCTGCAGAAACAACATGGATTTTCCCTCCAGTTTAAAGTTTTTAATTAGGTCTCAGTACCAACAGACAGGTCAGCTCACCAGGATCTGAGTAAGACATTTTCTGAAGTAGACAGTATGAATGAAGAGAAATGGTACTTGCTATCCTCTTTCATACCTGTCCCTCAGCAAACCAAATTATTGTGGAGGTGCCTTGTTGAAGTCAAAGGAAATGTCACTCAGAACAGAACAGAAAACAGGACTTTAGAATGGAGAAAGCTGCATGTGTGTGTCGTGTACAGATGGGAGACTGAACTGCCTGGGCCCCTTACTACCATGTGACTTGGGGCACATTTCTTCATCTACAAAATGGAGATAACAATACCTACCTACAGAAGAAATAAGGCAGTGAATTTGGGGTTACAAAATTGGCTCTAGTTATCCTCCTCTTTCTCACCATCAAATCCTCTGTCAGTGACCCTAAGTGGTCAATAACTGGATGCCAGAAAACTCGTAGCCTGTTTAAATTTTCACATGACCCAATCCCCTGCTCCTTTCATAAAGTAGTTTAAATTTACAAGTCAAGGTCTGTCTGCAAACATCCCTGCCTGAATATTTCTGGCTATCCGTGATGGACTCAGGAGGCAGGGTAGTTGGGGCTAGGGGGGTTTCCACAGGCTAGCACTGCAAGTCCACAGGTCAAGAGGTGGATCCCACCCTACCTTAACCACTGACTCCCTGAATGACACCCTGAAAGGCCTCTGTAGGCCTCCAATATCATTGGAAAAAATGCTTTCATGAATTAGGGCAAAAAAAGAAGGGTAAAGACACCAGGAGGAAGAAACGGCCATGTGACAGGGGTAGGGGAAGTGAAAGAAGACTTAATTTATAACATTTAGCTTATTTTCTAAAAAATGTAACAAACGATCTGAGGCCGAACATACCAAGAACACACCAAGAAGCTGAAGACGGAGAGTTAGGAAGATTATTGTTAGAAGCCCCGGTGACAGACAGCAATAACTGAGTGCAAGGCTGTATCAAGCGCTGTGCCCTCCCAGAGCACTGTAGCTCCAGGCCCTCCCCAGGCCCCTATTTTGCAAGAGCACCATCTCAAAGCTAGGGCGGTTACCCGCCCAAGGTCACTCGGGTTGCAAGTCTCCAAAGCCCGCGCAAAAAGCGCTCTCCCGCCCAGGCCTGGGCAGGCGGCCTCAGTTTCCCCAGCCACGGTTAGCACAGTCCCGAGGGCCGGGAAGGGCAGCCGGGGGAGCCAAGGAGCCGGGGCGGGATGCTCACTCTCAGCTCGGGCCGCAGGCGCCCGTATTGCTCCATCACCCAGAAGCCACGCCGGTCCTCCAGATCGATGAAGGGCAGGTCGGGGAAGCGCGCGCGGAACTTCTTGAGGAAACCGCCCTCGAAGTCGGCCAGCACGCCGTCCATGTCCACCAACACCCGCAGCGGGCGGCCGCCCGCCCGGCCTGCCGGCCCGCCCGCCACCCACCGCCGATCCGCCGGGGCCGCCGCGCTGCGGGGCCGCCGCGCGCACCAGCCGCCCAGCCGGATCATGGCCCGGTGCGGTCTCCCGCCGTGGGTGTCGGGATCTGGGCCGCGCCGCCCTGCCGGGGCCGGCCGAGAGCCATGACCGGAATAGAGGAGAAGTCCAGCAGCCTGGCGCGCGTGGGGAGCTCAGTGCACCGGAGCACCAGGGCACCTGGGCGCAGGACGCGCGGGGCGCGAGCGCGCAGACTCCGGCCCCAAAGCGAGGCCGCGGCGCGCGCTCCATGCGGCAGCACAGCCCCGCCGCCCTTAAAGGGACACGCGCTCGGCGGAGGCGGGGCCAAAGAGGCGTGGCGTCGAGGACAGCTCTAGGTGCTGGATGCCCCCGGACGTCCACACTCCAGGCTCTCCTCTTGCAGCTGCTCCTAGGATTGGCCTGGATTGCATGCTCCCTCCTCCCACGGCAGCAGCGAAGGATGGAGGAGTCAGGCACCCGATGGAACAGATCGCGTCTTAGACGTTTATTGTGCCGGGCTGTGAACCAAACAGACAAGGTTCCAACTGTCCTGGAGCTTAGGTTTTAGAAGGGGAGACAGATGATAGGATGAAGGAACCAAAGCTGATGTGCACTCTGAAAGTCTTTGTTGCTTTATAGTGGAGTGTTCAAGGAGAGACTGATATTAGAATACCGTGCGAACATCACACACCCTTAGTGAAACTGGTGATTTTCAAGTAAATATCTAAATAAATACTATGTACCCCATATGGGTTGCTTTTTCTTCTTCTTCTTCTTTACAACAAACAAAAGCCTTCAAACACAGAGCACAGTGATGGGGTGATGGAGAGGTTCAGGACTGACAAGGCAGTCAGCGAAGGCTTCTCCCACGAAGGGGATGCTGGAGCAGGGACATAATGGTGGTAAAGAACATGCAATAACCAGGAGACAGCCCGCACCTCATGGGAGGCTGGACAATGCTTCAGCCCAGGAATTCAAGGTCAGCTTGGGCATCATAGTGAGAACCTGCATTTTAAAAATAAATAAATAAACCAGAATGAAAGTGCAAAGGGCTCAAAGGACAACAAGCTCAAAAGTCTGAGCCAGAGAGTGAGGGCCGGGGGGAGGGGGGCAGGAGAAAGCCAATGAAAGCATAAATATAAATTCATTCATATATGTATTTGGCAGATACTGAGTATTCCCGATGTGCTTGGTGGTAGATATCAAATGGTGAACAACAAGCCCCCTCATGGAACCAGCACTTTGGGATTCTTCCGAAACTATAGGGAAGGAAGGGGGTCCAATGTGATGTCAGAGAGAGAGTCACAGCCTGCAGGGGAGCACTATGGCACAGTTGGAAAAGTATGGACTGTGAGTTTACACTGTACCATGTTGGCACAACTACGTACTCTCATGACATCTCCTGGATTATATGCCACGACCCTTGATTGGCTTGTTCACTAATACATCCATCCCCAGTTCCTAGAACAGTACCTGGCATATAGTGTGTGTTCAATAAATTCATTCAGGCACATAATCAGCAAATAGTTTTGAGTGCCTTGAACAGAACAGAATATGGACAGCAGCTCTAATTCATGCCTGCATCCTGAATAGATGAGTGCATGTGTGAGTGTGATCCGTGAAATAATAAACTTTTCTGGTTATTGTTTGACACCTCCTCCCAGCTAAGAGTTCCTACTGCACTTCTCACTTGTATGTTCATTCTTTAATGCTGTCATCATGATTTTCTCCATAATTTGATTATAAAAATTTCAAACATAGAGAACAATTGAAGTAGTGTGTAATGTAGATTCCTATGCCCACCACCTGGGTTCTGTATTTAACAGTTTTCTGTATTTGCATTAACATGTCAGTTTTCCTATCCATCCCTCTATCCATTGATCAATCTATCTTATTCTTTGATGTTTTTAAGTAAGCTGTGGACCTCAGTACACTTTGCCCCTAAATATTGCAGCCTAGGGAGCCCTGAGTTTGATATATGAGTGAAATGCATAGATCTTAACTTTATCATTCTGGTACAATGAACATCTTGAGCATCCTCCGCATGCCTATGTGCTAAAGGTTTCGCCCCCAGCTTGGTGCTACTGAGAGGTGGGAGAACCTTTAAGAGGTGGAGCCCCGTGGAAGGTCTTAGGTCATTGGGAGTGTGTCCTTGAAGGGGATGTGGCAACCCTGTCCCTTCCTAGAACTCTCTTTCTTTGCCACATGAGGTGAACAATTTTGCTCCACTGTGTGCTCCCTGCCATGATGTGCTGCCTTGCCACAGGCACAAAGCAAAGGAGTCAATCAGCCATGGGCTGAAACTCAAAAACTGTGAGCCAAAATAAACCTTTCATTTTTATAAGTTTATTATCCAGGTATTCTGTTCTATTAAAAGAAAGTGGAAAATCACATCCCATAAATTTTGAGAAGTGTATTCTACTATGTAGCCCATGCCCTTGAAGAATTGACCAGATATCCTCTAGCTATCTTTACCTTTTCATACCTTTAGGGATGGAAATTTGCGCTGTCCAGATAGAGTAACCACTAGCCACATGTGACTTCTGAATGCTTGAAGTGTGTCTACTATGACTGGGGAATTCAATTTTATTTAACTACAAATCATAAGATATACTGGTGGCCAGCATATCAAACAGTGCAGACAAGAACCTTTTCTACTCCCTGGAAAGTTCCATCCTGCTCCCATTAGCCACTTTTCCAAGTGTTCTTAGGAATTTTTTTCCACCATAGTTGAGTTTTGTCTATTGTAAAACTGTAAATCAAATTATACACTATGTCCTTTTTTGTGATTGACTTCCTCCATTCACAATTTTTTGGGGGGGTTTGGTACTCGGGTTTGAATTCTACCACTTGAGCCAAACCCAGCCCTTTTTGCTTTAGTTTTTCAGATAGGGTGTTACGCTTTTGCTCAGACCCTGCCTTGGGCTGTGAACCTCCTACCACTACCTCCTGAGTAGCTAGAATTGCAGACATGGACTCCCATAATATTTTTGAGTCATCTGTGTTATTGTATGTGACAGGAGTTTTGCTTCATTGTGTGAATATACCTCAGTTTGTTCATCTATTCTGCTGATGATGGGCATTGAGATGCCTCTAGTTTGGGGCTATTAAGAATAAAGCTGTTGCAGCTGGGTACCAGTTGCTCACACCTATAATTCTAGCTACTCAGTGGGGGCAGAGATGAGGAGGATCATGGTTTGAAGCCAGCCCCAAGCAAATAGTTCGTGAAACTCTTTCTCAAAAATACCCAACACCAAAAAGGGCTGGCAGAGTAGCTCAAGTGGTACAGTGCCTGCCGATCAAGTGTGGAGCCTGGAGTTCAAACCCCAGTACCATTAAATAAATAAATAAATAAATAAATAAATAAATAAATAAAGCAAGCTATTATTGATAGACACTGGTGGCTCACACCTACAATCCTAGTTACTTGGGAGGCTGAGATCAGGGGGTTTGAGGTTCAAAGCCAGCCTGGGCAAATAATTCAAGAGACCTCATCTCAAAAATAACCAGAGTAAAATGTGGTTCAAGCAGTAGAGTACCTGCTTTGCAAGTGTGAAGCCCTGAGTTCAAACCCCAGTCAGTTCCACCAAAAAAACAAAAAAGAAGAAAAACAGAATGTTTCAAACATTCATATGAGGCTTTGTATGGATGAATTTTCTTCTCTTTGGTAAATACTGAAGAGTGGGATTGCTGAGTCCTAACAATTCAGTTTGTTAAGAAAGTTCAGATTTTTTTCCAAAGCAGCTATATCATTTTGTACTCCCATGAACAATGTGTGAGGGTCTTGTTGGTGCCTCATCCTCACAAAATTTGATGCTATCTGTCTTTTAAGTTTAGACATTCAGGTGGATTTTTAGTGGTATCTCATTGGATTCTATTTTGCATACATCACATTTCATTTTCTTATCTTTTCTAGGATTATTTTTATTGTTTACTGGTGAATTTTTAGTCTTCCCTCTTTAGAACATGAGTTCCATGAGGAACTTATGACCTCTGCCTGTCTTGTTCACTGATGCATGCTTAGAACAGTGCCTGACATATAGTATGTGTTCCATACATTCATTCAGGTACATACTCGACAAATAGTCTTTGAGTGCTTTGAACAGAACAGATACTATTAATCCAATGACAGGTGAGAAAATTGAGACTAAGAGACAAGAAACTGCACCAGGCTCCACATTGCTGATAACAAATGCCGAACACATGACTAACATTTATTGAAGACTACTCTGTGTCAGGTACCAGCCATGCTATTTGTTTATTTATTTATTGGTGGTACTGGGGTTGAACTTGCTAGGGAAGTGCTCTACCACTTAAACCACAGCTCCTGCTTTTTTTGCTTTAGTTCTAGTTTTTGTTTTTTGGTTTTTGTGGTACTGGGGTTTGAACTCCGGACCTCACACATACTAGGCAAGCACTCTACCACTCGAGCCATTCCACCATCCCTGTTTTGTGTTGAGTATTTTCAAATTAGGGTCTCATGAACTATTTGCCCAGGCTGGCTTTGAACCACAGTCCTCCTGATCTCTGTCTCCTGAGTAGTCAAGATTACAGGTGTGAGCCACTGGCACACAGCACTTTAGTTATTTTTCGAACAGAGTTTCACATTTTTTTGGCCAGGCCAGCCTGAACCATGATCCTCCTATTTAAAATGTCTGTGTAGCTGGGGTGACAGGCAGACCACCATGCTTAACTTATTGGTTGAGATGGGGTATCACTAACTTTTTGTGGTAACTGGCCTCAAACCATGATCCTCCCAATCTCTGCCTCTCAAGTAGCTTGGATTTCACATGTGAACCACACACCCAGCTTAGGTTCTTTATATGAAGTCTCTCAACCAATCTCCACAAATCACCATGAAGAATACTATTATTAACCCAGCTCAAAAGATTTTTTTAAAATGAGGCAAAGAGAGATGACTAGCTTGCTCACTGGTGTGATCATTTTAAATCATTTTGATATTCTTCTGTCCTCTTGAGTGTGGGCTGGATTTTGTTATTTTCTTCTAATGAATATAATATGATAGAGGAGGTGTTGTGTGACCTTTTTTTTTCAGAGGAACTGGTTTTTGGTGGTACTGGGGTTTGGACTCATACCTTCATGCTTGCTAGGCAGGTACTCTACCACTTGTATCACTCCTCCATCACTCTTTGCTCTTGTTATTTTGGAGACAGGGTTTCACTTTTTGTCCAGGCCAGCCCAGACTATGATCCTCCTATTTTATGCTTCCCACTATTGCTAGGATG